TCTCTCTCTCTCTCTTGGCAAAAAAAGCCACAACTTAAGTACTTGGGCGTTAGCAAGACAATTTGCATAAACAAGTTAAAGCATTTAATTCTGGCCGGAAGTAGAAAATAAGAAGTGATAGTACAGTTTTAAAATAAAATAAACGTTAGTAAAACGTAGGATCCTTACAATATATCTAACAGAACCTCTTGAAAAATTGTGCTTCTAATGAACAAACAATATATTATTTCATTTAAATCAACTTAAGTTTTCATATGTTATATTTCAGCTGGTGTTGGTGTATTGAGAATACGGCAAAGCACACTAGGGCTATCTGCCTAAGGGGAGGGATGCCTTCGTGGAGGACTTTTTAAGGGGAACTGGCTCGCATACACGTCACACATGGGGAAAACCACGAAAACGCCCATGCAGCCCGCCCGTTCGCGGGATTCGAACCTCCGACCGAACTACCAGTGTTCAGCAATTTTACCGCTCGGCCGCTGGTGGGCCATATTTCAGGAAGTAAAAATAGAAATGCGACAAAAATAACGAAGGAATAATGTTTGGATAGGTTAGAAGAAAGAAGATTTTTAGAAAGAAGAAAAGATTCTTTCTGAGTGTACTACATTTAAATAGGGGTGTTAGCATTTGTAACGTAAATGAGAAGTAAAAGTTCAGCTGAATGAATTTAAATTCGTGCATTTTCAACTGAATGCATTTAAATAGAAACTGATTTTGAATGCCTTTTATTGGAAGTAAATATAAATCTGTAATAGAATTTCCTAGATTATTTGGCAATATTCGGAGAAATTTGTAGAGATTACACTAAAAAGAATAGTTTGTGTGTTTGTGTATTGTAACGTCGTGTATTTTTAGCTAGCATAAAATGTACGTATGTAATTAAAAGTGAATTATCACTAAATTTTTTAAAGTACTACAAAATCAGGAGAAGGGTGCATAGAACCACCCTTTATTAACTCAAATAAAGTTTAACAGTCGGCACCAACTCGTGTTTACAGAACCCAACACTTTTGGCTTAAATCAAAAGTTACTCAATAAACTTAAAATTGATGAAGTTTAAATATAGCCCAACGGCTTCAGATTAACTGTGGCGCAAAGTGACTGCGAGTCGAAGTCGGCATAAACAAGCCTAATTGCAAGAATTCTAATGGCTAGAAAATCAAAGTTAACAACGTGGTCTTAAAGCAGGCAGAACACGCTCTTGTTTCACCCTCCAAAACCTTCATTTAAATATTTCTTTCTTCCCACTTAATTTGAATATCGCGCGTGTTGGAAATTTGCATTATGGTAGGGAAACGGAATGAAGTTTGATAGCAAAGGTACTTAAAATAACTGATTATAAAACTAAATGATACTCTACAGTGTGTTTTTTTAAATAGGCTTAAAACGATTTCAAAAGAGAAAGATCAAGAGCAAGGAATAGATAAAGTAAATAAGTAAGAGGGGAAGTAATAAATAAATAATGTAGTCCCCTCTTTTCACCTAAGCACACAAATGTGAAAACTAAATTTGTATGCTATTTTCCAAATCCATAGCAGAACTTCTACAGTGCACAAAAGTTTACAAAAAACTGTAGTAAAATAAATTAAAAAAACATGTAAAAATTTTTTGTGGGTGTGTTTCACACTTAAATTTAGTAACAATTACATACAGAATTTTCTCAAAATATTAAAAATTTAAAAATGCAATTGTTTAAAGGGGCAAAAAAGCTCACATAAGTGATGGGACAACTTACTTTTCCATCAATATTTATCGAAAATTTACTTTTTAAAGGTTTTAATATTTTGTTGGATTCCTTTTACTTTTAAAACATGATTTAATCTTCTTCGGATGGATTCGACTAATTTTTTTTTTTTTTTTTTGTGATTGCTGGAGCGATTTTACCCCATTCTTCTTGAAGCACCGATTTTTAATTGTTCTTTGGAAAATGGTGTGCTTGCGCGAATTCTTGATTCCAATTCTTGCCAAATATTCTCTATGGGATTTAAGTCTGGAGATTGGTGGTGGTGTTTTTATTTTCAGGACAGCTCTACAGCAGAGTCTAACGTTCAAAGCATGTGTGCTTGGGTCATTGTCCAGGTAAATTTAAAATCGTTATGAAGGTTCAATTTTCGTGCTGAAAATTTCAAATTTTGATTTAAAATGTCAATATACTTGTACTGATCCATTATACTGTCAATAAAAACAAAATTACCAACTCCAGCGGACGACATACACCCCCATACCATAACTCCTCCTGCACCATGTTTTACTGCTGGCACCAAGTTCTGTTTGCGAAATTCTTCCCTGGGTTTTCTCTACACCAAGATTCTACCGTCAGAACCAAACATATTAAATTTACTTTCATCAGTAAATATAACTTCATTCCAGTAATCAGAATTCTTATTTATATTGGATTTTGCGAAAGCCAGTCTGAGTTTTCTATTCTTTTCACTTACGAAGAATTCTTTCCTGGTTGCTCTACCGTGATATCCAGCAGATCGAATTACTCTTCTGATAGTCTCAGGATTAACCCAATTACTCCATATGATGCTTGTAAATCAGCAGCACAACCTTAGGAGCACTCATTCTTGGATTTTTTTAATATTTCGAACGATAATTCGCTTATTCCATTGCATAGCTTTGATGGTCGGCCAGGTCTTCTTTTATCCTGAATCATATGATTCTTTTTATATCGTTTAATGATATTGAAAACTGTTGAATGACTCAAGTTAACTGTTCAGCAGTTTCTCTAATAGATTTTCCACGTTCAATATGCAAATTAATAACTAATTTTGGAATTTCAGGCAAAGTTTCTTTTCGTTTAGCATTCATGGCTGCACAGAGCTAAAAAACACAAAAATTACAAAACAAACTGTAGAGAAATACTGCAGACGATTTTATAAATTATTACCAATTGCTTTCGAGTAAAAATAAAAACCCCAAAAAATATTTTTATTGTAGTACGTAGTTAGTATCTAATGGTGTCCCATCACTTATGTGAGCCATTTTTTGATCCATTCTAAACAATTGTATTTTTATTAAATTAATATTTTTAATATTTTGAGAAAATGTATGTTATGTAATAATTGTTACTAAATTTAAGTATGAAACACACCCCAAAAAATTTTCACATGCTTTTTAATTTATTTTACTACAGTTTGCTTTTGTAAAGCACAAGTGTCCCATCACTTTGTGAGACACTGTAGGTATTTGTCATTATCGGAACAAATTTACAGCAATTACGCACACAAAAAAAAATTAAATTTAAAAAAAAAAAATCTGAAAAATTTCAGATTTTATATTACATACAAAAATGCGTTTTTTAACGTTTTGTGTGTTACCTTTATTTATTAAATATCAGTTCTTCGCACTTGAAGCGTAAAATTAAATTCAACAGCAATATCGCAAAATAGTTAAAAAGAGCGTATCTTTAGAATTTCCGATACAGTCTCGCGAATTGGAGATAAAAAATTTTTTTCGAACTGTGTTGTTATTTTTTACTTTGAAATCATTGAATCTGTTGGTTACAATTTCTTTAAAGTTTTAAAAAATGTGAAATAGGTAATAAGACAAATTAAAAATTAAAAATTCGGATTTCAGGCTGCCCATATTCAAGTGGAGGAGGGAGGACTACGTTATTCAAAATTTGATGTCTCTAGCCGCCATTTCTTCATGTGTCTGCCGCTGTTTTTTCACAATGCGAGAAAAACATACATTCATGCAGATCCTTCATTATTTCTTTAAACATAATTCAGGGCTCTAATATTTAATGGCAAAAATTTGAAAAGTGAAGCGCCGTTTTGTAGTGCACTACTAAAAAGACCAAAATGGAATTAATTGACCTTCTGGGAAAGTTGCTCCTTTTGGCTAAAAAATAAATGATAATGAATTGCTTTGTGTCTTTTACAAATAAAGTCTTAAACCATTTCGTCAGAAAAGCGAAGCCAAGGAAGTAGATGCCAGGTAAATTATCCTGTTATTTATTGCCAATGATCTGTTGATTTTAAAATTGATTTCCGTAATTAAAAAACTTGCAATTCTTATTTTAATTAATTTATTTTAAAAAAATCAGCTATGGAAAGAATTTCTCAAAACATTTAACTAAGCAAAAAATATTATTACGCCTCAAACTCTGTACTTTTTTGTGTATAAGAGAAATACATAATGTTCTTTTGGTGAAAGATAGTATCTGCATAGACTTAATCAAAATCAATGACCACAACATGTATCTTTGGAAAAGAAAATCAATCTGATTGGAATACTGACCACATTGCATATTTCTTTATTATTAGTCTTATGATAGTACAACCCTAGTTTGGTGACTTCTTGGCCTAAAATGAAGACGTTGAGTGTGTGTGTGGGGGGGGGGGTTCTTAGAAGTAGTCAAAGGGAAGCTCACTGAAGAGAAATCAGAAGAACTGAAATCTGTTACTTCCAAAGAGGAGCCGCCCAGACGGTGTATTGGTTAGGGGAGCCGATTGCGATACCAAAGGGCCCGGGTTCGAATCTCGGAGAAGGCATGGTTGAATGTGTCCGTCCCTTCATAGGAGGCAAAGGTGGCCCACCTATTAGTTGCCTCCTAAATTAAAGTGACCACCATTTCTGGCCTTAGTTGTGACCAAGCCGAAGTCGGCTGAGAGCCACGCCATTGAGGGAAAAAAAAAAAAAAAAAAGAAGAAGAAGAAGAAAATTGCACTCTGGAAGCGCTCTTAATGAAGAGTTCGAGAAAAGAATCAGATTTAAGAAATTTTTCAGGAACTATAGTAATTTCCTGCATTTTGAAACCAATGTTTGGTAAATTACCCTCTTCCTTCCTGCATTGTAACCATAACCTGCTTTCTATAATCGGTAACTTTCCCGCAAAAAATCCCTGCATCATTATCGGTTTGGTGGAAAGGTAAATACAAAGCCTTAGTCTACAGTGTACTTGTACTTTCGACTTCATACAGCGGAAAAATGAATTCGCTATCTTAACAGTTACCATGCCAACACGTTATCAATCTGCGTCCGTTCCGAAAAGGTGTAGCATACTTGCTTTACCTGCCTGCAATAAGGCGCGCATTTATTTTTAACGGTTCTTTTCTTTTCAGGGCGGTGAGACTGAATACATCTTTAGGAAGAAGACTGGTAAGTACTTGACGGGTACTTTTATTCTACGTATCAATTTTCATTGATTATTCCCAAGATCAAGAGGATCATTTAAATTTAATCAAAATTTAAAATTTCTGGAAAAGATGCCTTTTGATAAAGTCTGAAATTTATCTAGTGACTTATTTTTTAATTAAGTAATTTCAGGATATTTTGTTATAAATATGAGTCCTCAAACCTAGACTACATTTTCTTTGTAATATAGGTTTTTATGTAAAGGGTAAAGCATACATAAACAAGTGAAAAATGTCTCCAGCGATTACTATCTGCCATTTTCGATATCTTCTCAATTTTATACAGATATCGAATAGGGTGTGACTCTCATACATTCGACATGAATTTCCCTGCCTCGTCATCGATAATTTCCTAGATTTTAAAAATATTTCGGTACAGAAACATAATTAAACTTTGGATTGTAGTAATATTAATTTTAATTCATTTAATTTCAAAGAAAAATACGAATAATTAATTTTTACTTTTTAAAAGGCATCCAATAACTTCTGCCAGTGCAAATGTAATTTTACGTGTTACTTTTGCTTTCAAAAATAGTAATTAATTGCATGTATAAACATTATTTATCTCATTATAGCTAACACAGCTCTAATTCCGTTAACTCTATAAGAATATTATAGAAATTTTTCATCCAGTCTATCGTAAGCTAGGTTGTACTTAGCATATTCTGTGTGAAAAAGACCTTATAGGATTGTACTCTCTTTGGCCACATAAACTCTGCGAGATTCTACTAAAGAACCTGGAGACTTATTGCACGGGCTTAAAGGACGCAACCACAGAAGATGGGTAAAAATAACCTTTTATTATTTTCAACTATGGGGGAACAGAAAGGCACGTACTTGATGCTTTACAATAACACCGATAACTTGCGGTGGAACTTGAGAATCGTTGCACAATAAATTCAAGGCTAAAGAGTAGTGCTGAATTAGTAACTTTTAAGTTAAGGCTAACTAGGGTGCCTCATTATTGAAAAGGCCAAAATGGCGTATCAGCAACTCCGCGTAACAGCAAAGACAGATTCGTAACATACGTTGGCTAAGGAAAACATGCTCTGAATAAATTCCAAGATTCATCTGTTTAAATATTCATTTCACTTAACATTAAATTTGCATCCTGTCGAGGAAATTCGGGGAGAAGTCGGGGAGTTCAGAAAAGATAACAAAAATTTGAATAATTGGTTAATTGAACTAAGGGAAACCATATAACCTCAGGTTACATACCGGACATCAGTAGTGACCTCAGCTTCTTTATTTTATCCTGTGATATAAGGTAGCTACAACAAAAAGTGCATAAAGAGGTGGTCATACATTATAAAAGTATGTGGTCATACATTATGTCATTATAAAAGTATGGGCGCCGTTGGACCTCCATTGACGAAGAGACTGAGTAAGAACACCGAAACTCTTATATAAATATAACCTGATTTGCAGAAGCAAAGGGTTTCACAAAGGTATCCCGGTATTAAAGTTGTGAATATAATATTTTTTTTTAATTTATAAGACTAAGTTTCATACTATATGGACTAGTTTCCTTTTGAAGAAGAAGCTTTTGCTTACTAGTTTGGTTGCTAAGGTAAATAAAAATCCTTCTTTCAGAAGAAGCCCCGGCATAAGACCGGCTTTATGAAGGTTGCTTTTTTGTTTTCAAATTAATAAATTGTTCTAAAGAAAAACCTTGTTTGCTAAGTTAGTGAACACTGGCCGACCTGTTCCATTGCTCTTACAATAAGACACTCTTGTAAAGTCCTCTCCGAATGAAACTATTCATTTTGGCTTCAATAGGACTGCAGTAATACATGGATTATGATGAGCGTCACATTTAACTAAGTAACTTTGTAAATAACTGGGTAATAACTTTGCGCAAAATATGCGTTAGTTAGCTACTTACCTGTTGCTGTCATTTTAAGATCATGCTTTGTTCTTTTGGTTTCTTAGACATGCACAAACCTCTCTCTTTCACTTTTAACGGAGATAATTTACTTTTCGATAGAAAACGTTAATAAATCTTTCGTTATTTGCCATTTTAGGACTTCTGTACTGTCTTTGACCTTTCTTTTACAAAATTTATCCTGTTAATCGTCAATTTTTCAGTTACATTTTCCTAAACTTTTCCCCAACTTCAAAATTATAAAATTTCTTTAGCGATTTTACTGACTGCAATTATCTAGTTGCTTCTGAGCAGTTAATTCATTCATAATAATTTTCCTTTTTGCTAATAGAGGGCGTTAGGTGTCACCGTAGTCATTTGTTTGATATTTGAACTTGTTAGGATTGTGCAATCACTGTTACTGTTGAAGCCAAGTCGCTTACGGATACATTGTAATGAAATTTACAGCTAATCAATTTTCATTTTTAAATAATTTGTCAAATACCATCATTATTTCCAGTTTTGGATGAAAATGGTAAATCAGGTTGAAATTCATTTATATTTTAACATGCGGTAAAAAATATAAAAGTAAGGTTATCTAATTCAAAATATTCAAGGAAATCATATGTAAAAATATTCCTTCTATATTGTAGGTTAAAGTAAAGTTGACTTTTACGTATCATCTGGTAATGAATATAAAGTTACATACAAATTCATTAACCGCTGACAATCCCATTTCTTAATAGAAGATAAATTAAGAGCAAAAAATGCCACTATGAGCAGTTTTCCGTAACCAATGATACAGACATTCGTACATCTTGACAAAGTGAGGACATTGAAAATGGAAGATTACGCTTTAGTATACTAAAACACTAAAGGTCATAGAATACCTGTTTAATTCCGTGTGTGGTCTGTTTAATTAGGTGAACTGCAGCAGTTTAACTTTATATGAACTGAATTATTCGGTAGAAGTTCTCAAAGAAGATGCTTAGGCATACTATCTTGATAGCCGCCCATATTTTCGTCGCTGTAACAGCTGCTGGATCTTGTCCACAAATGCTTCTATCAATCGTATTTCAGATATACTCTACGGAATTCTTGTCGAGTGATTTAAGTGACCGAAGTAATGCCGGAATCAGTCAGAATGCTCCTCAGATCATTCATAAGCAATCTAAGTCCGTATTATTATCTTATAATATCCTGTTGTTATGGTGGTACACAAAGTCCATAAAGAGTTGCAAATAATTACCAGGCTGCTGAACATAACAATTTCCTGTCAAGAACGAGCTTGACATCAAGAGACCATGTTTGATCAAGAGACCTAATACATGTCAGATAAATATGCCCCACACTGTTGTGGAACCTTCACCAACTTGCACAAGGTTTTGTCAGCAAAGCCTCCTGGAGTTTGCGCCAACTCAAACCAGACTATTAATTCATATTGACCAGAAATGTAGCCATGAATCACGCTAACTTTTTCCTGTCATCTACATCTAAAGATAAAGGCACATGTTCACAAGTACGGGTGAAACACTAAAACCTTTGTTGTTCTGTTAATAAAGACATTCTACCATCTACTGCCACACCCGATCAACGCCAAATTTCGCCGTACAGTCCTTGCAGACGCGTCTCTAATGCGTCTCTCGTTAGGTTTAGCAGTCAGTTAATTCATCTGCTCAGATGCTTCAAGTCTCTCTCATTTAGTAGATGCAACCAGCCATTGCTCAGTCCTATATGTCGGATGTGATATCCTTCACCATGTACAACTCCTAACACTGTGAATAAAATCTCAGGAGTTTCAATAACACTCTCAAATGTTTCGGATTCCAACTATAATTCAGAGTTAAAACTCGTTTAATTACTCTAAACATTTCACAAGACCTATCTGAAATCCAGTAAATTGCAGTTATTTCGTTTTTTGTACTCTTTTAATGCAATGCAAAGTCAGCTTATAAATTTGTATATTCTATCTCATGACTTTTGGAGCGTCAGTGTATTCCATGCCTTTTGGAATATCAGTATATCCCATTACTTTTGAAACGTCAGTGTATGTATCTCACAGGTAATAATTATTCTGCACCTTTCGAGCTGTACTAAATTCATTAACAATATCCTTCTTTACTTCTCTTGTATTTACTACGTTCGTGAATGTGGATGTCTGGTATATTGAGCGATAAACACACTTTTACAAGCCTTTTCCTAAGAAGGTTAATTAATGAATTCGATGAGCAACTAAATAGTGTCTATAAATCGTATACCATCTTGGGGAATATCTAATTGAAACAGCATATCGTGGACATAATTTATGATATTAATGAGCAGACATTTCTACTTAGATGCAGCGTTAAATGATAAGAGTATACGCTGTTAGTAACGTTAATTTAGGCTTGATAAATTTCATACAGTTTCACAAACTTATGATTTATTGTCATTTACTTTTATTCTAAATTAAAAATAGACGCATGTTGGTATGCTAAAAGGTTTGTAATTATGTTGCATTCTTCTTGTAGAATCACTATAGAAAAACAAAGAAATATATGTTAGATTTTAGCATTTGAAAGTAAAATAAAAAATACGATGCTGTGCATTTTATGGAAAGAGAAGTTCTACATGATCAAAAACCTAACAAAAGTTTATGTTTTCTTTCAACTTATTTCAATGATTTCAAGAAACATTTGCGATGATAACGAAAATCTGTCATACGTTTCAAAGATTCAGATCCTAATGTTAATTTTTTCAGTTATTTTTTACCTCTGACTTCTTTTTCTTGTTTTATGAAAAGTTGGAGTGTACTTGGTATTCATTATCGCATTTCATCTTTATATTTTTAATCTTAATTTATATTTTACAAATTTTCTAGCTCTGAATTGCATTTTAATGATAGTTAAGCGTACAAGAAAGCAAACAGAACATTCATGTTAATACTGAGAGCGATAAAAATTATTAACTTTGTTATTGCAATGCAAATCATTGAAGAACAGCAATGCACTTTCTTTCAATTTTGATACTGACTTGCTTTAATTCCTTAAATATGATTGTAGACGTACAATATAAATTACAAAGTTACGTAGAAAAGGTACAAAATTTTGATACTGACTTGC